GTATTCAAAAGCAAGCGGATGGCTCAGCTCCAAATCATTTTTCACACCTCTTTTTGGGCAGCCAGGGCGTTCGAAATTTGATGTTTCGGCCAACTAAATTGTAGGATGATTCTCGTTGATGAACGCTCACCGACCGCTAACAGAAATCACTTGCCCCACCCCGCCTTTGGCTTGGGCCTCATTTTTCAGGCCGTGACAGTAGCTGCACAGCGGATGGTATTCTAGGAAGCTGGTAGTGTCGACAATACGAGTGAGCTCCGTTAGCGGTCGGTGATCCTTCATCAACTAGTCTCCCGACTTAAGCCAGCGAGACAATGAGCTCGTGGCCCAATAGTTAGGGCGCCTGACTCTAATCAAAACATCGAAAGTTCGAGCTTCTGGTGGTGCACCACTTGGAGTTGGGTATGACTGGCTGACGACGGCTAATAAGCCAGAAATGGCCATTCCAGTCTCCCTTGTCTGTGTCCGTAGCCAATCTACGGTTTGCGATAATAAAAGTGGATCAAAAAGGTGGCTAAAAGAGCGATCGACCTTCGTTTCATTCTTCACGCAGATAAAGGGCTTCAAAGATGTCGATAATACCGGAAGTATCACGGGAAAAAAATACTGTGACTGGACAAAAAAGGTTGAGTTTCAGGTGCGCACTAGGTGGTTGGGTAGATAAAAAAATTTGACAGGTAAGCTAAGGACAGAAAATCACAGACGAACGCTGGCTCTGTTCTTATCGCCACGCTGTCTAGAACACCGGGGACCTTGGGTTTACATATTGAGTTTTTTCGTAGTTTTTTTTTCATTTGACGGCCACCACATTGTTTTAATGTTCTACTGCAGGGATTATGGGTGACCGAGATCAACGTTGGTCTCTATTTGAGGGAGTATAGTGGTGATTTCTTTGAGGACATTATACGGGCGACTGGCAAGAAGCTAACAAGCCCAGCCCAACACTCGCGAATATGCAACACGATTTTACCCTGTGAGCTACTTACGATGAGTTGCGTGCTGTAGACTGTCTTTATAAGAGTTCTCTACATATCCTCAAACTCAATTTGGCTTGCTAGCAGCAAAAGAAAGACTAAGCGAAGATAATGAGAAGTTTACGAAAAAAAAACGAAAGCGACTTCTGCAACGACATAGTGGGAGGAATGCTAGGTAAAGGGACCCTCCCCTATGAAAGAAATAGTGTAACTACGCATTTAAAATAGATCACGTACGAGTGGGTAAAAACCGAAAATCTAGGTCAGAACGGCAACATCCGAGCCTAATCTTTACATTGCGCAAACAGCAACTGAAACACTAGACTAAGACGTGGCACATTTTCACTGCACGAAGCTATTCAGCGACATTCTAGCATGCGTCTGGAGGCTTGTCAACGCGGATTAACGTTCTTTAGCCTGAGCTGGCGTGACAGTAAGTGGCGGTGCGTGTATGATGCATCGAGGTCCCGCTACGGGTGTCAAGAGTTTCTTTGCAGAAATGCAGCGTGTTATGGTTGGATAAGCGAGGATGCAGCAAAAGTATACAGAAACGTAACTCAAAGATGATAATCGCAGGCTCTACGATTTGGCTAGACAGCGTGTCAAGGCAGACCGTAGACGAACTAGTGGAGAGCTTCCGGTAAAATTGAAAGTCGAATCAATCCAGCGCACGTGGAAGTCGTTTGACTATATCAAAGCCTTTGGAGTCAGTTCGAGAGGCTTACAAAAGTTTGTGAATGTACGCGGCTTCTGTCCATACAACTTCTTAACGTGTATCAGACATGATCCAGTGACCTCGGAAGACATGAAACGTCGGAAAGTTTCGAAGTCAACCTTCTAAAGGCGTCTTCAACGACCGATCATATGGTAGTACAGGCAGAAATACATTACCGACAAAGGCAAAGGAGACTAGAATGGCCATTTCTGGCTTATTAGCCGCCGTCAGCCAGTCATACCCAACCCC